ACACCCATTAACATAAATATACAGACAGAATTTGAAATACCACCTTTGTCGCCAACGTCTTCTCCCAGTAATGCAGCTGCTAGCGTGGTAAATATAAAGGTTAGAGAGTTTGTTATCGGAACAGCTAGCGACAAGTCTGAGAATGGATACAAGTATGTAAGTTAATTTATCGAAATTGCTGACTACTCCAAATCGTGTCTAGAATCAACCTGCTTGACCAAGAGTATAATAGTATACAACAGATCCACTCAAATTCAATATCAAGGGTACAATGTACTAAGAAATAAGGTCAAAGTGAGTACATTGAAAAAGGCTTTCCAGAATCATAAACTATCGGCTTTTACCTGCCATCTGGTCACAAGAAACCAAATTTCAGCAAGCGTTTGTCTCAACCATGTTTCTTGTTTGATGTTCTCTAATCCAGCACTCCCCTTTTTCATGAATGGATTTGTAAACCCCCAGCAAACTGCAACTACGTGAGAAAGAAAGATTTAGGAGAACGTCCGTTAACCAAACAATGGAGAAAGGTGATATTGCTTACCCAAAATAAATCCTACTACATTGCCTGCACGCAGAATTGTTAGATGACACTTAATTCAGTATATAATGCTTCCTAGCAGCTATACAATTTGAACTCACTAAATAAAGTATCTTCCATGTCAAAATTTAATTCCCTTGTTTTAGAAAAAAGTAAAATGAATCTAGCGCGCAGTGGCTGAGTAGCAGATCCCGTAATTTTTAATGGCCTTTCCATTTAGGTTATCGTATCTAAGGTTACGCCTACCAATGATTACATTCTTGACTCGATAACGAAACCATTGCTTGCTTTTAATTTCGCGACGAAATATGATCCCTTGTCATTTTCAGAACGCCTAAAGAGAGTTATTACGATAGTACTGTAATTACCAATTTCAACAAACCCCAAAGAAATTACCAAGTGTCAAATTAACATTACTGCCGGTAATACTATAAACAGTAAAAGTTACACTATACGTCACATGATTAGAAGGAGAGATATTAATATTTACGCGAGGTGCTCTCTCGATTTTTTGTTGACAGTATCCTACAGCTATGCAGATTTGCCAAATCACAGTCAAAGGAATGTATCCAAGGAGTTACCTTTTCTTGCTGAATAATGATGGACCTTCAGACCAACTAAGTATGTGACGTTTTTTTTAAAACCCTATAATAATAAAGGATCTTTACTGACACCTATTCTATAGTTAGTTATCTTCAAAAAGCATATCCAGTTGGTTACTCTGGCTACAGCAACTCTCGCGATGGAATGGAGGCCTCTTCTGTCTTTTCTAAGTAAGACTGATAGGAGTGTCAGACAATCAAGAGGAAGACCAAAGAAATTGGTGGTGCATGCTGGGTCGAGTACAAAAAAAAAAGAATACTACTATCGGAGAAAGCATAAAAGCAGAGACCGGAACCCCCCAACGACGAGAAAACGCGTTGTGTGGGTTGACATCACATTATCTATTAATAAAAAAAAGACCTCTCGCTGTTGAAGATTTACGAAATTTATAGAAGAAACTATGTCGCGGGCTAAGGCCGATTTACCGTATCCTCAGCAGGCAGGCCTCACTTAACTTTCGTACGGGAATTCAGTAGATAATAATAATCGTCGCCACCATGCGATTATCATCTCCCTTCGTAACAAAAGGTGATACGTTACCGAGAATGTCTTTCAGAGTACAATGTATATTAACAATTTGTATATTGTTTAGATGTCTAACTCTAAAGAAATCGGTCTACGATACGAGAGACTTGTCAGACGACGTCTCCAAAAAGGAGGATTTTGGGCTCATAGATTGAGGTTTAAAAAAATCACTGTTATTATTATTATTATTATGTATTCAGAAGTTATATAATTATTATATATTATTAATATTAACGGTGAAAACGCGATTAACTATAAGATCATTCTATTATCAGTTCCGATCCGAGAGATGGAGGGGATGGTGGAGTTGATATTATTGCGGTTTATAAAAAAGTCTTGTTTGTTATCCAATGCAAGAATCACGGAAGAGGAGTTGGTAAATACTTTAATAGATATATTAATGTTAGAAGACAATTAATATTAATTACAATCTAATTTAAAGAGCCCGGAGCTATTAGAGAATTAGAAGGAGTACTTGCAGGATACCCTATGGGTACTGTTGGAGTTCTAGTGGCTCCTAAATTTGGGGCGGGATGATGTTGTTTTATCATCTTTCCGATTATCACAACGAATGCGGAAGATATTGTTTCTAAATTGGTCTCGTTTACCGAAACAACATCATCAACTTCAATCCCAGATATGGAAATTAAGACGATAGTGGAGAAATTTGACCTCCAACACTGCCGATTTGAATACAAATGCCTTCTATTCGCCAAACCTCAACCGCCCGCCGCAATTCTCCCACCGAAAACCGTCGAAATGGCTTCCGTCTTGAAACTAAGAATGCCTTCCTTACCTATTAAATTGCTTTGAAGGTTATTGATCTATATAAGGAAGCTGATCTCTTGCATAAAATTCGAAAAGAAATTGAAATATACAAAAATCTTGTCAAAATTCAAGGAATATATATTCCCAAATTGGTGTGTCATGGTTATTATGGATATGGGATGGGCAATTTTATGGGGGTCACTATACTTTGAACAACC